ACTAAGCTTGAGTTTTAAAAATTTAAATACCTTCCCTTTGTTCTCCCAGCCCAGATGGTGGTATTGCTTCCAGTAATTGCCGCCTCCAAGATATCTTACTATTCTGTTCTTGACTTGTCGGCTAACCAGTCAATAACTTTATACCTAGGTGACAATCGTTGAGATTAAATTCTCTCTGCTCAAATAAATAGTGTGGTTTCTATCTCCTGATCAGACCCTTCCTGATACATATATAGTGTGTGACATCGTAGCACTGAAAAAAATATTTGTTGAACTAATGGCAATAACACTGAGTCTTACCACCTCAGGCTTTGTTCTAAGTGCCCTACAGGCCTTTCCTCATTTCATCTGTCAAAGTAATCTGATCAGATAGGAACTGTTATCCCTAATAAAAGGAAAAATAAATACTGATATGTAGTGAGTATTATATTGAATACATTGCCAGGTAAAGCAGGGAAACTTGATCCAGTAGAGAAGTTAGGCCATGTGAGATTGCATCTTCAGATTAAGTGTTAGCAAACAACTCGGGATGCAGGAAAGGTTTCCTTTGGGGTAGGTAATGTACAAGGGCTGAACAGGCCCTGTGAAAACTGACTCCATCCAATGGCAAGGGTGAGCTCCTAAGGGCGATAGCCCTGGTTTCAGCAGGAGGGGGAATTTGTTGGTTTAAACAAGTCTTTAGCTTGTCAGCACAGGATTGTTTGGTTTGTAATGGATCTGAGCCCCAATTCCATTTGTGACTTTTTGGAACTTTATCGACCCCAAAAGTCATTAGGTTGAGTCCAAATAGTACAGTTGAGGCACAGATCACAAGTATGACAAGTTCATCACCAGGCTCTTTTTGCTGATTCTGATTCGTTCTCCAAGAAGCAGTTTGCTTTGAGCCCCGACCAATGCTTTCTTGCATTTTATTAGCAATATAGGCTCAGAGTCAGGCAGTAGGTAAGCCTATCTGTAGATACTCAAGATTCAGCATACATTTCCTTATCATCTCATTTTTACCAGGAGGAACCTGAGCCACAGAGCAGTTAAGTAGCCCCCCCTTGGTCCCACAGTGGGTCAGTGATAGAGCCCGACATCGGTAGGTACGGTAGGTGGCTTACTTTTCATGGGAATCGGTTTCCTGAGGCCATGTTTCCCTACAGGTACTCATATGGGCCAAGCCTTCCTGGTCAGGCAGGTTGACTCAGAGTTGGTATATTTAACCACTTTGTTACACTGTTTCTAAGGGAAAGGGGAGAGAGAGAGACCAAGAATTTAGTATTGTTGAGAGCATGGACTCTAGTGCTCAGTAGATCTAGGCTCAAATCCCAGATTTAACTTATGCCACCTACAACTTCCATGAACTAATTAAATTACTTAGCTATCCTAAGGCTCGGTTTCCTCATCTGTAAAGTGGGAAAAACAATATATACGTACCTAAAAGGGTACTGTTTAATCTATTTTATATCATTTTTTTAAAGCATGCCATTTTGTGGTCCGTGACTGTCCCCTAGAGGTAAGATTAAAATTTGCACTCTATAATTATGCAAAATACAATTCCAAAGAACCCCTTTCTTCCCAAACTGTTCAGCAAAAAAGCCAGTAGTTTCTGCAAATCAAATGGCCCAATAACCACTGGCCTGTAGTGTCTCTGATATCTTTGAATTGCAAGTTCAGGCTTTTTCAAATGGAATCAGCAACGCCCGGCTCAGCTGGGTACTGCAGAGCACCATGGCACCAGAGAAGGGATTCGCATGAAAAGTAAGTTACCTGCTATCAACAATAACAACAGCACACAAAACCCAGAGAGCTTTACAAATGAGGGTCCCCCACATCAAAGAAAGAAATTGTCCCCTCTCTTATACAAACAACTTCGAATAACAACAGAAAGAGAAAGAGAGAGAGAGAGAAGAAAGCTGGCCAATTCATTTTATAAGGCTAAACTAAGTCTGCAATCTTTTAACTTAAATTCTTTGGGGTTTGGGAATTCAGGAAGATAATGCAGTATATAAGTTGTGTATAACACCTCCAGCAAAGTCTGGACCAGTTCCGACAATCAAATATGTTAATATCTTTGCAGCATAGCATACTAAGTGGGATAAATAAAAACTATAAATAGGCTCACCTCAAATCAGATTTCACTGTCAAATGAGCTCGCTGAAAAAGTACTCTCCTTGGGCGCCTGGGTGGCTCAGTTGGTTAAGCGACTGCCTTCGGCTCAGGTCATGATCCTGGAGTCCCAGGATCGAGTCC